TAAAATGCTAATCAAACATAATATAATAACAGGGATCCAACATAGAGATAAAACGTCCCAAATTCAGGACAAAAGAAAAAAAGAAATAATGCCTGTTATTTAGATTAGAGCTAATTGGCAAATTAAGGACAAGGACAGTCATTAACAAACATAATAATAATATAATGGTTTGCAACCTCACTTGGTTTATTTGACAGAGCAAACAAATTATCTATAAAAGCCTTTTGAGGTGAATGTGAGTCTCAGCAGCAGCGTTTCTGTTTGTTTTGAAATCAAATGAAACTAAACTTCAACAGATATGTCACTTCTTTTTTATATTGGGGCAAAGGCATCATGCACAACTCACGCATCCCAACATATTTGTCTCGATGTTATGTTTTTTGAAAGATGGAGCTGAGGCCATGAGAAAGCAACACCTGCTCGACCTCCACCTGCGGAGATGTTTGTCAGCCCCTCATTGGTCCAGCGGAGAGAGAAGATGTGTATAAATAGTGCTGGTGATGCAGCAGCAGAGTGTGGGTTTTTCTCTCTCATCCAGGGAGAAGCATGAAGTGGTTCATTCTGGTGGCTCTGTTCGGGCTCGGCCTCGCCCAGCACAACCCACACACCAAGCACGGCAGGACGGCCATCGTGCACCTGTTCGAGTGGCGCTGGGCCGACATCGCCGCAGAGTGTGAGCGCTTCTTGGGCCCCAATGGCTTTGGTGGAGTTCAGGTATGTATGAATGACACAGGTGGGGAGCATCGAAATGACTTATTTTAAAACAAAGTGTCTGCAATGAGACTTTGCAGGTCGCTGCTACAGAAGAGTTGTTTTTAGCATCATGTGCAGACATAATGTGTAAATCCCACTTTAATTACCTGCCTCCATGTGATAACTAAATATTTACATTTAATTAAAAGGAGCTGTGAAATTTCACCAGGTGATTCCAGGTAAAGAGATTGTTTCTTTCACTGACTTTCAGATTGAGTGAAAGTTATTTTACTTTGGAAATAAAACATTTTAATCAATAGGCAACCATTGTGTGTTCAGGGTGATAGAAAATATAACAAAACAAAATAAAGACCATCAGTTGGAGCTAGGATAGGAAACTTAAACGTCTAATATTGAAGATACAGTTTTATAAAAACAAAATATGGATACAAAACTCAAAATGCTTTATAATTAGAAATCAGTTTTTTATAAATGTCCCTGTTCGCATCTGTCTTCCACTTGATTTAAAATTCAGCACCAGAACTATATCGATATTTCTGGAAACTACACGTCCCCTAAATGCAAAGTAAAAGTAAAAGAATGGTCCTCTGCATTGTCAACTGTTAAGTGATTATTATTTTGTGATGTATTTTCCTCTGTGCTGCTCAGATCTCTCCTCCAAATGAACACATCATACTGAACAACCCCTGGAGGCCCTGGTGGCAGAGATACCAGCCAACAGGCTACAACCTGTGCTCCAGATCTGGCAACGAGAACGAGCTGAGAGACATGATCACCAGATGCAACAACGTCGGGGTAAACAACGGTTGATATGAATGAACATTTCTGTCTTCAGGCTGAACCAGTGGAGATCAGAGAGAAATGTGTGAGGGAAGGTGTGAAAACAACAGATAAGAGGATAAGTGTTGAGTGTTTGTGTTGCAGGTCAACATCTACGTGGACGCTGTTGTCAACCACATGTGTGGAGCCGGTGGCGGAGAGGGAACGCACTCTTCATGTGGAAGCTGGTTCAGCGCCGGCAGGAAGGAGTTCCCCAGTATTCCCTTCACCCAGTGGGACTTCAACGACCACAAATGCAGGACTGGCAGTGGAAACATTGAGAACTATGGTGACTCCAATCAGGTGAAGAATGCCACTGAGAAAACAGGTCCCTTAAAACCTTTTCCATTGAAACCATTCATCCTTACATGTGATATTCATCCTGATATGTATGATACAGAATTTTAAAGGCCACTGGTGATTTCAATATTCAAGAGTTTAAAAAG